TGGCGGTCTCCTTGGCGCTTTTGGAGGAGCTCGTGTTATTTCCGTAGGAGCGGAAATTATTCTTGCTCCCAGCCAGGACGCCCCCCCCCTCTTCCTGGCCCACGCGGGCTTTTTAAATGTTTTCGCCGACTTAACAGGTTCATCTCCCGAGGAGAGATGCGAGGTGAGGGAGGAGGGGGCATCCGAACGGCAGGCCTCTATCGCTACCGCGCTTCTAAGTCTACGAGAGCCCTGTTCTTCATGTAACCCCATGCTTTTCAGGCAGCGGCGTGGCGTGAATTGCGATACATCGATTGTTAAGTCATTTAAACCTATGGAAAAGGATCGATAAATATAGTGTTCCCAGCGAACACCTTAATAATCGATTCTTCACTATAGGTTTAAATGGCATAACAATCGATGTATCGCAATTCACGCCACGCCACTGTTTTCAGGGCTCGCGTGAAAATAGAGATACGCCCTTATGTCAAAGGAGCGACGGGTAGCAACACCGTATCATCTTCTAGACTTTGCCAAATGTCTTCCGATCGAATGCAGATTTTCTTCAAAACTTGTAAACCTCGAAAGGAAAGTACCTACTTTAGATATAGGTCTACAAATGCATCCCCAATAATAGAATCAGACGTCAAAATGAAAAACAAAGAGAAAAAATCGAGTGTCAGGGGATTTTGAGAACCACCCTTTGAAATCCCAAGCCGGTTCAAATTAATCCGACTATCTCTGCTGTGGGCTGAATATTGAAATTGATAGACGAAACAATAGACAAAGAAGACAAAATGAAAATAAAGCGATCCTATTGATGGAAGCGGATGGTCGCAATGGATAAAGGAGGTAAGTAACAGACTAACTAACGGCATGGCTATACCCAAGAAGACCCTACTGTTAGTCCATAATTTGCCCCCTCAGTCTATAGGAAACACCCATTTCAACCAATAGGATCACTCCAGACTCGCCATGTCTTCTTTGTTTATCGCTATGTGTCTATCAATTTCAATAACTAGCCTCTTTAGAGAGTTAAGGGCCGGTATATACGAGCTATAGATGTAGGTCTGTATAATTACATCCTAAAATAGAATCAAACATCAAATTGAAAAAAAGAAGTGCCAACACAGCCAAAGATTGGAGAGATGTGATCAGACCTCGATATTTAACTTTCCTCCCGACTCGGAGGGACACCTCTGTGGCAGCATGGCGCGAAGTACTGCGACTACTGCGAATTCACGCCTCGCGCCATCGCCCCTTCAATTTTGAAGATGCAACACGGACATCCATCAAGCACGAACAATTGTATCTCTGCGCCGTCATCAACGCGCGTCCTTTCCCTTGCTCTATTTCTATATTATTTTTGGTTCCGTATAGGATGACAATTGTTAGAAACACCTTTTTTCCATCTACAATTGGAGGGCTACGCCCCATGACCGACTCGCGACCCAACCCTAAGAAGCGCTTAGCGCCTCAGGAGTTAAACGTTGCGCGGGGTATCTATGATTTTATATTACGAAGTAAAATTTATTTATTGACTTAGTTTTGAAAACTTTTTTTACACCTCTCATTTCTCTTGGATTTGCAGTCGGAACAGAAGCGGTTTTTGCAGCAACATAAGCAAAGGATGGAGAGCTACAGTAAAGCGGCCGCCGCCATGAAAAAGCAGCGCAAAAAAAGAGTTGGCTCCAAATCCTCAGTTGCGATGGACAAAGAGCTGAAGGTACGTTCTTCATTCATTCTGCTACGTGTGTACTGTATTCATCACAAACGGAGTGAGTAGGGAACAGTGAAGTTCAATTCAGAGCAGTATCCTGATTGAAAATGTAAAAGTTTATCAGTCACAACTTTGTCTAAAAATATAAATGAAAAATTACACTACCTTTTATAGAAGTACACCATGAAACTAATTTGTACACTAAAAAGTACATTCTATAGCTTTCAATTTGTTCTTTTAAGTGTATGAAAGCACAGGGACAAATTCTAGTTTTGTGTCTGTTTTAATTCCAGGCACCTACTGTTTCTGATATATTTAAGAAAAAATATTCAAAATCCTCATGTGCTTTTTACAATTTTGGGGAGCCAAATAAGTAACTTGATAACTGATCCCTCATATGATGCCCATTGTAGATTCCTGATAATCTGTAAATAAATTACACAATTTTCCATAAAAAATTATGGTTTATTGTAACCAAAAAATTCTCTCGTATACCAGTTGATGAGCTAGTATTGAGGCGCGATGCAATTGTATAATTAACACACAAAATGTTTGACAAAAAAAAAAAAATTGATCCCATACCTTAGGGACTTTGGTAACTCGCCTTCATTTCATTATTTTGTAAGTAATTGTGTTCAGAATAATGACACAGTACAACACCCACAAGAGTAAAAATTCTTAACCATGCGTATGCATAGAAGGACAATTTTTTGAAGCGATACAATCACCATAAACATGATTATATTTTTCTTTAATTTGCCTTCAAAATAGATTCATCGGCAAGGTGAGTTGATTTTTGATGTTGTGGTTTTTTCTCGTCGAAATAATAATTAACTTTCCTCCTCTGTTTTTTCAGAACATGCAAATTTTAGAGGAGGAGAAATCGAAGTTAGACTCATTTTGTGAACAAAGCTTAAAAAGTGTAAGTCTTTTTTTTTGTTTTCTTCTCTTGAAAAACAATCCAAGAATATCCCATCAAAAAAGTCTTTCCAGGCCGTAGGCGCCGCAACGCGGCGTCGCTGTGCCGGTTATTCGTTGAACCGCTCAAAATACGACAAAAAGGGTAAAATTTTTGCTCTGAAGGGGAGTAACTCCGAAAAATTTACCGGAATGATCTTTTTCCATCCTTTAAAATGCAATTTTAACATATACGCCTAAATCGCGACGGCGGAGGGGTCTAGGGTTGACCTAGACGCTTCAAATTTTGTATATCGACGGTGAAACTACCAAACCACGTATCTCGGTTTGCGACGTCGCAGACTTCCTGTCATACTTTATTTTTTAAATGAAAAACTACTTAACGTCCAGTCTTGAAAATTTCTGTGATTTTTCCTCTTCGTGCGGAGAAAATTCTGTGAAAATTTCAAGGAATGATATTGATTTGATCCACCTCAAAAAAATAAAATGCGAGCGTAGATTTTTAAACACCGCAAACGAGATACGTGGTTTGGTAGTTTCACCGTCGATATGTCACCCTGACATGCTAATACAACTTTTTTTCAACATGAGTCGTTCCCGGAAAAAAAGTCATTTTTGCGACCCGGCGTATTTTCAGGTTTCAGTTTTGCAATTCCATCAATGAGTCGAGGTGATGAAAGCGGATGAAGTCATACTCAGAACCCACATTCCTGTATTCTCGTAAAAGCTGGTCAGCTTTTTGGGTCCCAGAAAGCTTTGAGGTACCAAGGCGGTTAAATTGTCCATATTTTTTACACTGGACGTACACACATACATTATTCGCTACGAGGGCAAGGGGTACTGCGAGAGGTGCGATTGCATGGGAGCCGAAAGTAGCTCTCTTAACTGGAAAAAAAAAACACATTGGATCTAGAGTCCAAACTCCTGAAAACATTGACAAGAAGAAATACTCTTGATTCAATCAGATTTAAGATTAAATCAAAAGGAAATCCGCTCAAATTAAGAGGCTTGGTTCTTGATTTAAGCAAAGATCCGATTGAATCAAGAGTATTTTTTCTTTTCGATGTTTTTAAGAGTCTGGACTCTACATCCAATGTGTTTTTTTATTCCAGTGTAAGAGAGCTACTTTCGGCTCCCATGCAACCGCACCTCTCGCAGTATTCCGTGCCCTTGTAGCGAATAATCAAAGACGCCAAAATCTGGAACTGAAGTTTTTAATTTACGCGCTGATATCCCGTACTTCAGACCCTCGACCCTACATCCTCGTGTCCCTTCCTCGCGACATAAAAACACCCGATTTCCTTTTTGATGAATGCCTATTTTTTATCCGAATAGTCCGTCGCGCGGTTTTCAGATCGCGCCGTAAACCCACGCGCCTTAGTTGCACTTAGAGCGAAGAATTCTTGCTTCTTGCATAAGATATGAAATGGACGCATTTAAATCAAAAGAAACTATACCCATAATGACATAAGCCCTGCTATTCATGCGTTCTTATGGATTTCGCGGTTCATGATGGAATGTATGTAGTTCCTTTTGATTTAAATACGGCCAAATGGATTGGTAGTGCACTAAGTGAACAGCTATCGCAGAGCAGGGCAGGATTTACTTACTTACCGCCCCCTTCTCATTCGGTTTGAAACATCAATTGAAACCATCAAGTGAACGTGCCAGCGGGGGAAGGATGCAGAAGACGTGTTTACTTGTGTTGGACACATTTTTTGGGAAAGCCCTGTCAACATTACTAGCAAAAGTTCACGGAACTTTGCGCGAAAATTAAATTCCGTAAACCTATCTCTGTGTGGACAAGGCCTTCCAATCATAAGAAATGAACGAAAAAATTATGAAAGAACAAACATAAATGCAGTTTAATGATTTTAACTTCCGCCGCCGCGCCGCGCAGACTGCACTGTGTTTGGCGCAATGCGTGAAGTATTCCGACAGTCTTGTAGGCGCTTAGCGTTTCACGCTGACCGCACTGTCTTTGGCGCAATGCGTGAAGTATTCGTGCAGTCTTGTAGGCGCTAATATGTGTTATATGCCGACCGCCGCGCCGAGGGCTTCTCCTTTTCATCTCAAGTCCTCGTCATCATTTCTCTTTAAGTCGCGCCTTTCCAGGCCGAATTGCGTGTTTGGTTTCTCTCTTTACTCGACTGATTAAAGGTGCTGTCTCTTGTATCACTGAAAGACGACAAAATTAGAAATTACTATACTCTCAGGAAATGAGAGATTTTGTTGCCTTTTCTCGTGTGTAATTTTTTTTCTAAATTCGATTTTTTTATACCTACATTTAAAAAAATTGCAAAATTTGCCGCCCCCTAGATTTGCCGCCATTTGCCGCGGCCCATGTGGCCATCCTCTTAATCCGGCCCTGTGGCAGAGACGTGTTTTAATCGTCAGTACTGGGTCTAATGGACGTATTTCTACGAAACGAAACCAGAGATAGGTATGAAAGAAGGGGTGTGCTCCCTAGTCGAGGGCCGTAAGAATTAATACATGAATTATAAAGCGCCAGTGACGTCAGCGACGACGAAACCGCCTTTCCGTTTCTCCAAAGGAAGTCACGCCCACTTTTACATTGTTTCTCAAGCAGCTTTCTAGAACACACCCCATCTCTCCCGCTCATCTATAGTTCCATTTAATAGAAATAAGTCCAAATGCCGAATTTTTACGTTCCTAATGAATGGAATTTATCTTTAAAGACAGGATGAACACGGATGATGCATAGGTAAAATATTATTTCATTACCACTGAAAACTGACATTGCTGCATTCTAGCTACAGTGTATTATATCCGTTGATCCCGACAATTCCCCTCTTTTTAATCGCGGTTATAATTTTAAATCAAGTCTGTTCATTGGTTTATGTATGGGAGCTGCGTTTGCAAAATGTCCCCTCGTCTGAAAATGAGAAAATGAAGGGTTCTCAAGAATTAATGAGAATTGAAGGGAGGGCGAGGAAATTAGCAGATCTTTGATTGAGTTTCAATCGTTAACTTACTCCGGTCCCACTGCCAGTCGTTGCTTTGAAAAATTGAAGCAAAAATCTAATCATGGATTTCAAAGCAGTGGTAATTCATGCAAGTTGATTACACTACTTTCATTCAGTTTAATCAATTACAAACCATCGAGTTTAGGTGAGGTACCATGCCTCGATGATTTTCCATATTTTTCTCTTTGTGTCCATTTTTTAAAGCTAGTCTTGCCGCCTTTCTGGAATCTCTCTCCCATTTGAGGGGCCTGGAGGACAAAACGTATTGGTGCAGTTTTTGCTTTTTCAAGAAATACCTGTTTTAAGTTTCACATGGAGCCTCATGGCAAAAAGGAAGTTTAAACTCACGTTTTCATGCTTTCAAGTTGGATTTTGGTTGTGAATTTTCCATAGAAATTCCTTTCAAACTAGTTTTAGTCGAGCTCATAAATACCTCAATTTTTTTTTCAAAAACTGCACTTTTGCGCCTTTTTCGCTAAGCCCCTCGTTTGAAATTCGATTTTACGCTCTGACGGGGGACCCGGACAGGGTGGCGGAGTAAAAGGGGAAAACAGATAAATTCCACTGAGGTTTTTTCCTGTTCGGACATTCACTCCTGCAGCTAAAACAACGGAGAACCCAAAAATAATGAAGATGTATTTAAAACGCACATGTTGCTGTTTTAAGGAAAAACGCCGTTTTTCACCCGTAAAGGGATTTTAGGTGAAATTGCAAACAACCTTATCCGAAAAATTGGAAGGAAAATATTCACAAATTTGCCTGGAAATTCGTGTTTTATCAAAGAAAATTTGGCAACATCAGAAGGTTCATACGGCGTTTTCCCTTAGCACGACAGAATGTAAAACTGTTCGTGAGGAGAAGAACATACACGTCTCCTGAAGCTGAATATGCTGCTATTATTTCTAAACGATGAAAGTCGAGTGGAGTCGAAAACAACTAATTTGTGTCGTTGAAGCTTTTACTGACATTTGATCATTCGATCTGGCAACACTCACTACAAAATACTACGCATAGTACTACGACAATACGATGAGTACGATGTCAAGTTCTTGTCCTCTCATTGGTTCGTTCTGTTTTGAATGGTTCATTCATGACTTCCGCAGTGCCTATGGCGCATGCGCAGCACGCGTGCGCGAGCACGCATATTGCACTGCACCACACACGCACAGTTTGTAAACAAACAGTGCGAACAGTTCAAAGAGTGGTCTTTTCTCGATTGATTCGGCGCAAATTTCTTTGTTGATTTAAAATAATGTGTGCAATTAAGGGTGGTAAGAATGTTACTTTTACCTTCATTTAAATTTTAGCTAACATCTGAAGAACAGAATTTGTCAACATATAAGTATGGTCACTTTTTCATATGTGTAATTCAGACTAGCCAAAAATGTTGTTCGATCAAATGGAGTTTAATTTTCTCCCTCATAATCATGTCGCAGCTGGCCGTAGTACTTATATTCCTCATACGCACGGGCATAGACTTGTCATTGTCAAATAAATATATTGTATTCAAATTAAGTAAACTTCTGCGGTTGGAATACGATGTGGGATGATTTCAACCGTGAACTCACTGGTTAAAACGTTATTATGAGTCTACCCTTTGACTTATTTTTGCAAGGCCCTCTTTGTTGTTTCTTCAAAGGTAAATGCTTTTCTGTACTTAAATCCAGTGGACATATTATCAATGGTCTGACAATCTAACAATCCCAAAACTACAGAGGTTAAATTATCTGTAGACTTTAGAGAGGCGTTCCGTCCTGCTGCACTTTTATTTACTCTCATTTAAATTAATTGTCATAACAAGATAATTCTATGAGCTTCATTTGACCACAAAATCAACTGATCTGCAATTTTTGGATGCACCAAAGAGGTCTTGAGTGAGTAATAATTTCTTGAAGTCGAGAATCAGTTTTCCTCAGGTTTGGAAACGGTAAATGTGATACGTAATATGATTTCTTTGTGTCCAAGAAATGAGCTTGGATTTCTGTCCTACTTTGGATCTTAAATTTTCCTCTAAATATGTGGCATTTGCTATTTCAGGCCATGACGCAAGAGCGACGTCGGTATGGGTTTGTGCTAGAGCGGCACTGTTCTCTAGCGAAGCACTATTTGGCATATCACTCGAGCGGTCAGTCTATGTACCAGAGAGGCCTGGATGACTGGCAAGACATTGCTAAAACTCGAGAATTCTTACCTGAGTCTGTCGACTCAATGTTTGCTTCCAAATTGCGAGTAAGTATAAGCTATAATTCATTTAATTTTTATTCATTAGAAATAAGTGATTGTTAGGTAAAAGCAGCAGAGAAAGTGCTAGATCTTGCATACACAGAATCTGCATAACAAGAGTTGAACTTAAGGAAAATGAAATTGATACCATTTATAAATCATCACCGAAGGAAATGCAAATAAAAATGAAAATTCAAGGGTTGTACCTAAGGCTGCTTAATTGAGTGGCTATGGAAGACAAAGCTCATAAACGCAGTTTTTGCTTTTTCAATTAATACATGCTTTAAGTTTCAAAATCACATGGAGCATTATGGTGGAAAGAAAGCTCAAACTTAGTTTTTGATGTTAAAAAATCAGATTTGAGCTGAGAATTTTTCACTAAATATATTTTAAGACTAGTTTTAGTTGAAATTATTAATATCTCATTCTCCTCAAAAACTGCGTTCATGCACCTTGTTCTGTGAGTATAAGACTTTGAAGAATAAATTCTGAATCGCTAGAACGGGTCAGGGTTTTGGAGCTTTCTACCCTATTGGCTGTGAACGTTTAAGTAGTCCATGATTTGTGCCAAAAATATGCACTTCAGTTATTCTTTAGGTAAGTAATACAATTTTTGCTCTATAATTTTTAGCAAATCAGCATGTGGCCAGATGATGATGGAATGCAAAGAATGGAGGATGATAGGGTGTCGGTAACTTCCCAGCTACGAAAGACAAAGTCAATGGATGCGTCTTGTCTCGATATCCGTGCCATGCATGAAGTCACCAGTCCGACCATGACCCATAATCTACTCTCACGTGCCAAATCAGATTTTAACCTTTCTGCATCAAACCATTCCCTGAACCAAGGTTTGTATGTAACGTATTTTTCTTCTTTTTTTTCCAAGATTTTTATCTCTGAAAGGAGAGAAATTTGTATTAATCATGTGTACGCAATTTCACCAATGAGGCAGTTTCTCTTGCATTCTTCTGTTACGTATCGTAAAAAATGGCGCGCGTCGACTTTTGACACTTTTATAAATATGGCATCATTGAATGTAATAAAGAACAACAAAGTTCTTCACTCTCAGGATGGATATGCAGATACCAACTCTCCAACACCAGATAAACGTGAGCCGTTGCTCTGAATGATCCTTCATGTCTGAATCAGATCTGATTTTTCAAAATCAAAATGACTAATCCGTGCTGTAAATAACCTGGAAATACTTACCATGATTCATCAGGGAATGAAATATTTTCGGTAAAATCAAGAAATTTATGAGGAGATCCATTTTGAGAGGCCATTGACACTATTTTGTTCGATGTTAGCGGCACTCATTGACTAGCCACTAAAAAATCACCTATGAGATGAAGAGAAATCAATAAATTATTTGAACACTGAAGAAAAGTCAAGTTTTTCTAGAAAAAATCTGGGAGTAAAAGAGAGGAAAAGTTGGGCTCTCATCAGGAATTTGTCTCTCAATATGAGGAAAAATAAGAGAATGAGGAAATCCAATGATTGTAGACACTATCGTGTAATCCATGAGGCTAAAAGTCTAACAGATATTGCTTTCAAAAAGGTTTAATTTCAATGATTTTCTGTCAATCAGTGGATCAAGATCATCCAACACTTCCTCGCCCGAAGTCAATGGCCATTCCAAATGATTGCTGTGAAAATGGAACCGTTTTGGCTCGTGCTTTGTATGCTTATCTGTCCAGCGGTGACAATCAACTTAGTTTCTTGGAAGGAGATGTCATAGCTCTGATGGGTATGATTTTTTTATTTCCTTTTTATATTTTGTGTGAAGTTTTTCTAACTCAAAATATAATTTTTTTTCTTTCTATAATTGAGGGCTCTTCTATGTCTTCTCTCACATCAAGCCATTTTTTTCAATCTAAAGCAAATTTTACTTTTTCTCTTAAAAGTAAAATTACAAGTAACAAACGAAAAAGAAACTTATAGAAAAGTGCTGAATTGTTCTGAGTACTCCGAGATCTATTCTTCATCTTTAGAGAAATTCAAAGCCAAAAATTAACACCAAGGTTTCAAAAAAAGCTTCATCATCTCATATAATTGGTGGATGACTCATTTAAAAGACGCTTCTTCATTCTTTATACTTATTTTTCTGTTTGCTCATCATCTGAATCCTCTTATTTGAAAAATTCACAGGTGAAAGGAACAAAGGTTGGCAGTTCGGCGAAAATTTAAGGACCCAAAGCAGTGGCTGGTTCCCGCTTGCGTATACAGAAACATTATTAGATGATAACCTTGTCAGGTAAGTTGCAATGAATGTTTTCATGTTTTCCGAGGAATTGCATCAAGGAGTTAGAAACCTTTTCACTTTGATTTTGATTACTTTTTATCTTAATTTGTGTTAAAAACTTGCAACTGCTGAGCTTAGACACTGAGATTGAGGTCTTCATATTTTCATACTGCAGCAACTGTTACGTTACCATTTACTGCATAATCTGACTTGCATAGACTTCTACTTTTTCATGAGTGGGATTGATGAATCGATGTCAAAAACCATTAAATAGCTTACAATTAGTTAGGAGTTAGTTTCGGCAATTTTTATTGAGTGAATCGCGTTTTACATGAAACATTGGTCAAAAGACTTGATCGGAATGCTGCAATTCAGACCTTGTCTAGGGGTCCATTCTATTCAATCCATATTTAACTATCCACTCGACTAATATAATTTGAACATCTTCAGGTGTGATCTTGGCTAGGGGCCAATCGCCTGCTAAACTCTGGCCTCTCAGGGCCTGCAGGGGCCCCTTTTGTTAAAATTTGCAGGCCCCATTTGGTACTTTTTAAGAAATGTCCCAGAACCTTTCAGGGCCTCATTCTTTGAAGCATTTCTGGACAAGCCTCCAATCCTCTTCTCAGTGGAAGCTGTCGCTTGGAAAATTTGAAGCCACTCTGCCCTAGAGTGTCCAGTTTTAACAAAAGCTCAATCCAGTTTTTTTTTTTCTTCTTTCTTTCTTTCTTTTAATCCACCAGTTTAAGGAAGAATCAGCTCAAATTTCTTTTTGTTTCCTAAAAAACATAATTTTTTTTCTTCCTCTTTTCAAAAAGGGACATCAAATTTCAGTCCAATCCTCTTTTTTTCATGACATCAAAAGAAACCAAATAGTTGCCAAAAATTAAATGTACACAGTTGATACTGAGTGCAAGTAAGTTCAAAGGTCTCTCGAACATTTGTAGTTTCATTTTTTCAGATGAAAATGTTCTGCAGTAAGTATTGAAGTCGTCGAAGCTCTGAAATCATATAGTTCAAGAATTTAATATCAGGATCAAAATGAACAAAACAATCATGATGAATGAACATGATGGTCCATAATGATACTGTCTCCATTTAGATTCCGTAATGTTTTCAATGGTTCTGGTGCACATAAAAGATGCAATCAAGTTGTTGGATTTGTAGGAGGTAAAAGCACACACAAACCTAGTTGAACACATTGAAAAAGTCGAAAACGTACTCCTTGACTTGTTAACTGCCTTGCCAGTCTCTAGGGACTGGCACACATAGGATTCATTCACAAATCATTTCCAGTGTATCTGTAATGATACCAAGTCCTGTAAATGCAGGAAATTCTACAATATTTTATAATTGAAATCCATGATCTAGACCACTCAAATCATACGTTAAGTAGTTTATTTTTGGCAATTCTAATGTGCTGGACATAAATTTTATGCGACTTGAGAACAGTCTGTCTACTCGGTTAGCTGAATCTTGTGTGTGCAACAATCCCATTTCTCTGTAGCCTTGTAACTCAGTCTCGATTTGGAAATTTTTCAGTGGAGGCTCAATGTCCCCTGTTCAGCACCGTCGTCAAGATTCGACAGCGACATCAATGCAGACCAGCGGTAATTCTGCTCACACACCATCTTCACGCAGTCACCCTGCCGCACCTCCTCCTCCTTTGCCACCACAGCCCCCTGCAGTAACTCGATTTGGCGATACATTAAGATATTCTGCCTATCAGGTAGTACCTCTCACCTTGCTTCACCACCTTATGTTTTATCTTATGCAAACTCATAGAGTATTTCAAATTTGCTCACAATAGAGTTCCTTCAGCATTAAGTCCCAGGTGAAGGAGTGCTGCATCTAGACTAGAATATCTCATCAATTGGATAGAGTGCAAGTAGGCGATCCGACTAAAAATGGCAAATTTATTCTTGTAAAGGATATCTTTGACATTTAAAACTCTGAGTAAGGTTTTTTGGGCCTTAATATGAAAGTTTGTGAATGATAAATCAAGGAACATAGTTTTTAGGCTCAAAATGTAGATTTCGTTGGGTTTTTCTTTCACTAGCTCTAATGATTAACTCCTTAATGATTAGCTCTAAAAGAACCTGTCTACTCAAAAAATAAGTTGGCCTAACTTTAATTGTTTGGAAGCTAGATTTGGGGTAATTCCATGGCCAGGCTCTTCAGCATCTTAAAGACTGCCTAAATAACCAAGATACTATCCTTGATCAAATAGAACGACTTTCTTGGACTTGTATGCAGATAGGTGTATTTAGCCAAATAGTGTTCAAGAGGGCATTGCATAAGCAGGAGGGTTAAAAACACCTAAATATGTAGCTTTGAAGTTCAATAAAGTCTGGAGTGGTTTTTTGTGAGCTCTTCTAATTTCCCTCTGCTGTAATTTGTTGACAGACCTTTATAATTTTGTATCCGTCTCTATTTCTAACACATGTCATTAGTCCTAAATTATGGCACTCATATTTTTTTTGAAACTCTTGATGTAGATGGTTCCACATTGCTTAGTAGTACGAGTATTGATCCAATCTCTCTAATTAAGTTGTTTCATAGTGTAGCTACTGTTCCAATTTCCTAAGCAATATGTGCGATTTTTGCTGTAAGCAACTTTTTTATAAGTTTGCAGCATCATTCATCCACCTCTTTTTTTACCATCATTTGCCTGAGCCATTGCTCAGTATATTATAATCTGTCACGTTCCTCTTATTTCTTCTCATATAGGTATCCTTTCAGGTTCCACTTCTATTTTTCAAAGCATCCTTTATGGTTCTGGAGCCATTTTTTGCAAATTTTTAACTTGTTCCTAGGCATTCAGCATATGTGGAAAAGTTAAAAACGATCAAACAGTTCCAAAGTTAATACGGTGGAGAATGTCAAAGACAATCAGATGGCTCCAAAGTCTGTACGGTGGAGGACGTTCAGGAAAAATTTGAATAATTCGTGCCAGTTAAATAATGGCGGATGGATCTATAATTCAACAAGCACTCTCACCATTATTACAAGAAGCAATGTTGACACCAGGATTGTTAAATGGCTGCAAGGAGTGTTGTATTTACTCAACACTCTTTAATTTTTCTTCAGAGTCCCTCAAACTTGTTTAATAATCTATGAAATTGTCTTCATTTTTGAACGATTCTGGCTGTCTATAGTCTTACTGGAACCTTCAAACATGTTTATTTTCAGTAGAGTAGGTGTACTGAAAAGTTTCAAGGATATGTATTGCACCAACACCAATGTGAAAACTGTCTAAAGTGTTAAGAATGTTTTTTTGTTCATTCATCATCAAATCTTTATAATTTTGCTCATTTTAGAACAGATGCATTAAACTAGGGGTCAGAACTTTCCAACTTTGTACAATTATTTTCCTGAACTGGTCGAAGCATCAGGTTATCAGATCAAATCGGTCTTGTCAGATGCTTATCAGAGACCCTATGTGAAAAGATCTTTTAAGTTCAACACTAATTAAAACTGATCACCGCTGATTATTAAAATTTTTTTTTGTAAACTTCTAGAATGTATCAAAGTCTTATATTCCCCCTATTTTTGCAGACTCGAGCGGGTATGAAGGGCAATAATGTGCCACCACCCCTAATGCCGGCTCCCGTAGTACCTTATCCCCCAACTGTCTCCTCAGTACCAAAAGAGCGTCGTGCACCAGCAGCTAGGATAGCGCCAAACAAACGACCTGGAGCGAACACACCAGCAACTGGTAACGTTAGTCTTCACAGTAGCAACGATAGCGGTTTTAGCAATGACCCACCTCCAGCCCCTGAAGTAGACTACTCAGACGATGAAATCACACGGTAAGAACTAGTTTTGAGGATCTTTATTCCAATTCTATCAGCAGCAAATTTTGTTAATCTCACAATTTTTGCTAATTGATACTTTAATACTGTGATTAATTAGGGTTCATGAGTTTTTCATGATGATGTTGCTGAATCTGAACAGTAATTTTGGAGAAAACCCACAGTATATATTTTATTTAATTTTTTATTTGTATGTATTTTATTTTTTTAGTTTAAGACTCCCACCTCATGTGGTAAAAGTTAAGCCAGTGTTGATTAGCGTCCATTTGAGTGATTCTTTAATACCCCTGTTACTATTTGGAACCTCATTGTGTGTCCTTTATACTTTTTCTTATGATTTGATATCACACAGCTGGATTTAACTATTTTTGGACTCCATTCTTAGGTCAACCTTGTGTCTGCCAAGATTAGCCTTTATTAGTTCCCAGAATCATCATCAGAAGTCGTAGAAAATTCTCTAAAACTATTTATGTTTAAGAAACCTTAAGTATGGGGCAGTTTTGTGTGCTTTTGCAGTGATATACTATCTGACACAAGTTCAGCCTCCCACAAACATTTTACCAGGAGAATCCCAGCGCTTCAAAATGGTCTTTATCTTGTAACTAATGGCCAAGAAAAAAATGATAAACCTTATCCCTTTTTGGATGAACAAAATAACTTGCCTTTTGATGATTCAGAACTTATTCTTAAATTTTTTTCTAGAGGTGAAGGTTGAAAGAAATTATTTTTTCCATTTTTTAGCCTTATTTTACGGCAATTTTTTTTCTCTCTTATATTATTGTGCCCCTATTTTCTCGAAAACAGTGCCTTTTCTATTTTTTATTTCTTGCAGTTTTTTCCTCTAAGTTTCTTCTTTCCCTTTTTGATTTTTCGATTTCTGCTTCCCTCATCTTGTTCTCAAAATTTGTATCTATTACTTTCATCAACTAACCTCTCAAAATTTCTCCTGACAGAAGTTCCTCCTCCTTCCTTCTTTCTTTCTTTCTACATAATTAACTTTTTATTGGTCAATGGGGCATCTCACAATACATATTTCATTTTGGCTTTTTTTTCATATCTTTGTATCTTCCTAAATAATGTAATTGTATAATTGAGTAACAATAATTTTTTCCCCTTCCTGTTCCTTGTCTCTTTTTTGTTTGTGTTGCACTAGGCAATTTTAAAATTTCCAAGGAAACACCCAGATCCGTAGAAACATTTTGGTGGTAGTGTTTTTTCACCTTACTAGTGTCACAATGTTATATGCCTGCACTCGTTTAATTTCCTGATAGATCTTTTCTAAACTTGCTTTCCTGTTTCTTTAATCTCGGATTGGTACCGGTTCTTTTTCTATTTTACACTGAAGTAAAGTTCCTGGAATGATTTGGTGTGTTTGGATCCATTGTGAGTCTCTCTGCTTTCTTTTCTTCCTTTTTCTCTTTGATAATCACGCAGAAGAAACTTCTACCGGATTATCTATATGCGTGCCGTATAATGTCTTATGCTTACCAAGCGTCTACGCATTTTATGTCAGTGCTGACCTTCTCCTTAGCTTACTAAACAATTCTGCAAAGTTTGAAGTTTTTACTGCGCATCTTTTCCTCTTTGAATTTGAGCAATTACGCCTAACTCTGCCTATCACACTGTCCTATCGGTGATAAATGTCTAGTCTTCGGTTTGTGGATTTTTTGGTTTTTGCCACACTATCCCCAAGACACCAGTAAGTAATATGGCTTTTATTTTGTCCAACAGTCAAAAGAAGAAATGGAGTTCCAAGTCCAATGGAGTCTCTAACTCAAAAAGAGCCATGAACGGACATAAAAGTGACAGTGAACTGAAAACAAAAAAACCAATTCAACAGGTGAAAGCCTGGCCAAACCACAAACACTCTGATGACTACCCCAAAAAAGATTACAAGTCAGATTCAATGATGAATGGAAGCACCAATACATCAACACTCAATTACAAAAAAGACAACCGCTATTACTCATCGAGTGTAGGTCACCTTTCAACCTTGGAACGTAACACCAAAAATGAAGATGACTATCTGAACGACAAGAAGATCAAACGAACCAAGTCACTTTGGAAGTTTCGCAAGAATGAGGATGTGCTCGAAGGCATGGCCTTGTGGAAGCACCGTTCACTCGTAGATATTCACTCTCTAGATGACTCCAATACAAACACTATTACAAGGTCAAATCATGGCACCCCAATGATGAACAAAAAATTGACTTCAATCGACATTAACATAGATGAAGATGAGAAACGGCACCTGGATACATCTTCATCAGTGAATACATTGGGGTCTGACAATGGTTCGACAAGTAACAATGCAGACACAGAATCTTGCATTGTTGTGGATGATCATACAACAATGCGAAAGCAGCAGTCCCGGGGAATGCTACCGCGGACTCACCTGATTAAATCACCATCATCTCAGGGACTTGATTCAATGAATCGACTCAATCGTCATGACAGCCACCATGATAGTCGTCATGACAGCCACCATGACAATCGTCATGACAGCCATCATGATATTCGTCATGATAGTCGTCACGATAGTCGTCACGATAGCCGGCATGATAGTCGGCATGACAGCCGTCATAACAGTCATCACAAGAGCCACCACGATAGTCGCCATGATGATTTTGATGAGGATGATGATGATGAACTTCACATCGAGAATACCAAATATTTTCGGTCCCACAATAAGGAGAACACACCCTCGTGGATTTACGATTCATGGGACAATCATGGCACCTTAAAGTGAAGCGTTCAAGTGTGCATTAAGGGTCCATTAATTTTTAGTAGGTATTTATGTTTTTATTTTTTCCTCCACTTGCATGATGATGATAGTATCAGAGCGGCACTTCTAATTTTGATCTCAAATAGTTTGACCACATTAGTTTTGCAGAAATGTGAAAGACACAAATTTACAATCTCTTCATCGCATAGTTAATTTAAAATATGTGTACATGATGTACTTATAAATATCAAATATAAAGGAAGAACGTTTTTGGATTGATTCGACAATCTCATGACTTTCAATATAATTTGAAATCCTCTTGCCACTATGCTCTATTGTATTGTGTATCAGACTGCAATTTTGCTGGAAAAAAAACAAGAAAACTATACAAAGTTGCTGTAAATAAAATATTTCAAGTTATATTTAACCTCATGGTCTGATGGTTTAGTTGATCCTGCATCCAACTGATTTTAACTAAATGTTTTCCTCCGACATAAGTATCTTCATCTCTTCAGTCACCCCCCCCCCCCCACTTTTTTCCAAAAAAAAGAGGAAAAAATTAAAAATGCCCAAGTAGAGTATTTTAGCATCCATAAGTGAAGTACTAAAAATATTACAGATCTCAAAAAATAAAGAAAATCACTCATAGTAGTTTTCTGAACTTAGTTCAAAACTCGCATGTCCAATTTTTGCATCTATCTAGCGAGGCTAAAAGGCATGAACGCGTATCACTCTGATAGTATCATTTTGAACCTTTCCTATCCCATCCAATTTTTGTTTCACGTTTTTCTAATTTCCTTATTTTATGATTTACAAATCATTTTCTAAGACAAAATTGAGTGACCCTTACTTAAAAAAAATGAGACGTTTTAACACTTCTGCATTTAACATGTCTCAATTTTTTTGGTCCCAAAACATATAACTTAAGTTTGAGGCTGGCTTGTGAATCCTCTCTACCTTCACCAATTATTGCCAGTTTTGAATGTGGTCTCTGTTTTTTCTCTATTGGTTGTTGAAATAGCCATCTGTCAAATTCTAAAAACATTTTTTTAACGATTAACCTTGTTTCCCATCGTTCAAGTCCAAGTGGGCCAGAAAATTCCAAGATAAAAAAGTCCATGTAACAATCAAGGCTTCAGGCATCATTTGCTGCATGTTGTATGGAGCCAATGATTAATCTTAGAACTATAGATTATTAACGGCAAGAGGCGCCATGGTTTGTGTCGTACATTTACCATTTTTTTGCTGTTACTCTTTACAGGAAAGAATTGTCACGACACACGGACTCCTTTGTTTTCACGCGTAATGTAGAACGGGTTGAAAAAAGTCCATTGAGATTAAGAAAATACATTCATGTGTACTCAGTGTTGAATGGTTAATAATTTTGTAGTAATATTAAAACGGTAAAAGCTCTGAATGTCAAGAAAAGACATTGATTTTGATCAAGAAAGTTTTGACGTAAAAGTGTGCTAATTTTCCCGTCTGTTTTGTTGATAGGATCACTCCCAACATGTTCGCAACAGTGAAATTGCGGAAGACAAAAACCAACGATCGATCAGCTCCGATGATTCTCTAGAATCCCAAGAAATTTCCCGAAATCAAGTATTTCTTGTGATGCTGTCTCATCAAGAGATGAAACCTGTTGATCATTGTTTGCCTTAATCTTAGTTTTGTACAAATCCGTTGAAATATTAGTATCTATTGTTATAACTATTACTGAGAATCTATGTTCATATTTTAAAACCATTCTCTGATATTTTTAACATTTCTGCTCACTTTTAGAAACTTTTTTCTTCTTTTTTTCTCCTGAATTCTTTATATTATAGTGGAAAAGTGCATTCAAGAAATCAAGTTGTCATATAAAGAATTACATTAAGCCTAGTAAAATAATCCCTACAATGAATGATGCTTTTCTTGATTTTTCTTCAAAGCCAGAATTGAAGGACCCTACCCTTCTCAAACAGAATATCATTTGCCTACTTGTAGTGCTGGCTGAATTGATCGGTATATTCTGGTGAAACGAATCTTAGCAATTTCTGGTGTACAGGACTTCTTTTTGCAATTAGGAAACACAATTTCTGCCTCAGTTTAGAAACAACATATGTACCAGTAATTTCCCTGTGCACATAAGTGTTTTTACGCATGAGCCAGAAATTGTAGTTCCTTATCGCAAAATGTAGTTCAGTAGATACATGGAAAAAAGCTTTTAATTTTTTTCACCGTTGAAGAAAAAATGATAGTTTGGTCTCAGAGTTGGCCTTTTTTAATTTTGATTTTAGATTTTTATGTATAGTTTTTGTTATTATTGTTTGTTACTGTTTTCTATAATTAAAAAGGAACCATTTTACCGGATAAGGGATTCGGTGCTCGAAAGCCATTTTTTTTAACTTTTTTTAAAACTTTGAGTTTTTGGAAAGAGAATACTTTTTATTATCTGAGTAAGTAAGTTGCAAGTGGTCTAGTACATTTGGATGCATTTATAATGAAAGAAACTATGTGAAAATCAACTAAATTCCAAGGAACTGCATGGATAGGATCTGCGTTCCTTTTGTTTAAATAATTTTTATGAGGTTTCTCTTTGCATGAATGTACCTATCCATTTGTTTGCCCGTAGACAGTGCAAGCCCCTTTTTACTCAAATAGTTTTGAGCATTGAACTTTGTAAATTAAAACGTCCGTTTTTTCCGTTAGCTACGTTTTTCATCGAGTTGGACTGCATATTTTAATCGGTTGTAACTCCAATGTAGTTTAAAATGTAGGGGTGAAATGTTCAGAAAAAACTTGCTTAAGGAATGGTACAAAAACCGCAATTTTAAATCTTAGGCACCAAAGGACCTTTTTCCTGTGAACGGTCGAATTTGCTTAATCAAACATTCGCATTTTCCTTCTTTGTTTTTATGAGTTATTATATGCCATGCTTTTAAGTTTTCATCCTCAAATTACTGATAGGGTGCATCCACCAATTTTTCTTTTAAAGGTATTGCATGAAGATCAAGCCAAAGTATCATAAGCACCATATGTTCTTATGCAATATGTTGCGAAACTACTCAAAAATCTCCAATTTCCCAAGTATGGAAAAACAAAACAGCAGATCGCTACTGAGAAAATAAATCCCTGAAATTTTCATGAAAATGTGCGCAAAAGTCTTAAAGAAAAAATTAAAACGATATTGAGGTGTCCTGCAACATAGCATCTGATTGTAAATGATGCTTCTTTGACCGGAAGGTGACAAAATACTGAATGGCTTTTCCTCAGCATGGCAACACAGACCGCTGTTTGAACATCCAAACAGAAGTTTGTATGCATAATTCTAATAATCCGTCCATTTTATTTCTTAAGTACATAACTGTGTATATCCTTTTATATTAAAACTAGGTTAATATGTATGGAAAAAAGTGCTGTAAAATTACTCCAATTTATTCTTAGTGTCAAATTTATTCTGTACAATCATAATATAGTAACTTTTTCAGATGGAAATATTATTTGTAACATGAACAGCTTTTTAGTCTGTAGGTATTGTATTCATATCTTGTAGTTTTGTAGACAAGTCAAAATACCTAATGAGGCACTGCCAATCCCGGTTTATCAACAGTGATGAGAAATTTTATGCACCTTCCCAATTTAAACTAGTTTTACGTTACATCTTAAGCCTACCAATGCGATCAGCTTTTATTTCCTCGAATTTTAAAACCCCTAACTTATGAAATTGTTCCTCCTGTTGCTTTTACGGTGGTTAATTGAGCTTTCTTTCTTTATTTGTACTTTTCCATTAGTTTTTTTGCTCAATTGTTTCTACTCCCACCCTTTCTGCAATCAGTTGATTCAATGTCCCTTGATAATCATCAAAAGTCGAAAGAATTTAAATGCGATATCTTTCTATCTTTTTTTTTCTTTATGCAAATACGTAGAAGACTGATTCAAAAAAGCTAATACTGAAAAAGATATGGGGCCAAATTTTTAATTGGTAAATTCCTCATTTTCAAACCACTACTCTTACCTCCTTAATTTCTTATCCATTTTGCTCAATCTTAATTTTGTCAGGAAATTTTGTAAATATGAATGTCTGACGCCTAGATTTAGTTAGCGCCGCTTGAACTTGAAGTCCAGAAAGAAACAAAGCGATGGAGACGCAGACTCTGGAAATGGCTCACAATCTCGTGTTTCAAAGTATGTAGCTACTTTGAAAAATTGAGTGAGTCAAGGAGCATAGCAATGATTTACCAGCTAAAGAAGCTTTGATGCTTTTATTGATGTAATAATACATTCCTCTTATAACTTAAAACTTGGAAGTTAAAAACTCATCAAATTTGTGTCTGATTTATAACATGGCAATGATGATGTTATTTCTTCATTTTTGATGAAAAGAAAAGAATAATAATTACAGAGAATATGAGTCTGTTGAGGATCTGGTCATATTCAGTGCATCAGTGTGGTATATTTTAAAGAAGAAAATAAAGCCTACGAAGTTAAAAAAATATGATTATGCAGCGAGTATGAAACATCCGTCATTTTTACTAATAAGGCTTTGAATGTACATACAACTTCTGCAGTTTTAAGATAGGTAGCAAGGCAATTAGCCCTTCTTCACAGAGTTATCTTTCCATTATTTTTTTCCCGTTAAAAATTATTGTTGTCTGTTGATGTGTAAAAACTCAAAACTCTGTTTATAGGTTAATATTTTTAAGGTGTTGGTTCTTTGTATACTTACAGAATGCATATGTTTACTACTTAGATGCATCTTCATTAAACTTGTACTTATGAGTATTATATATTTTGTGTATCATAGTTGTAAGTTTATATTCAAATATTTATATAAAATTTACTCTCAAACAATTTCTTATTTGTTAGTCATTTCCTAACGTGAACCGCTCGGAGGTCTGAGTTAATCTTCAAATTCTCTTGTTTTCATGTCTAAAAACGAAGAAATGCGGGTGGCCCCAGTCAAAGTCAATTTCTCGCAGCCCAAATACACCAAAATAATGTACCAACATGTCGTTAGAAAGCTGAAATCGTCAGCTTTCGAATGGTATCTCGGTTTTTTTTGTAGCGTTAAAAATCAAGAGTAAAAAATACGAATCTCTGTCACAGACAAAACCTTGTATTTTGGCTAATCTTTTTTTGTGGAGAGGCATCTCTTTATTTTTCCGCTGTCATTGTTGGGGGAATTTTGGTCACTCATCTGAACATTACCTGAGAGTCCTGTGTCATATACGACACATTATGAATCTCACCTGTCTCGGTGAAAATTCATGGTTTACAAATTTGGCCATTTATCATAGCTTTTCCAAACTACCTAATGTACTAAATATCGTGTTTTTGGCTACAAAAATGTATCATAATCAGTGGGAGGTCAATAGAAAAAAGAAAGCTAAAGTCTTCAAGAAAATATGAAAAGGCTGTTCTGAGTTATCACTCTGACTGGGGATTGGGGATTCCATATCAGATGTTACATTTTTCAACGAAAGCCAGAATAATATAAAATAAAAAAAGTAAAAACTGTGTGCAAGAAGAAAAGGAAAAATCAAGATGTAACATTAATGAGAAACAGTTCAGGAACATTGAAAGGCCCAATGAAACATTCTCACCCCTCTAACATCACAAGTGTGCCCAAATTCTCTATAACAATGCTGTCACCATGACAACTGTTTGTTTACCCTAAACCCCCTGTCTCTTGTCAGTTGCGAGGAGCATGTGTTAACCTCCACTTCCTTTATTTTCAAAGAATCAACTATTAAATTGCCATTGTTTTTATATTTATGAGAAAAGTTTAAAACAGGAAGGAGCTAGCGGAAAATTTCATAGCAAATCGGACAACCGTAAATGAATTTTTTTTAATTCATCATTGAAAAATGGTAAGTTATCAAGTCTCTTCATTTACTTTCTACATTTGTCTTCCAAATTACTAATTAAAGCAGGATTAGGAACGAATTTTTTAAACTAATGTATTTAGAAGTAAAAAACAATTTTTACTGCAGAGTCTAAGGCTTCAAGGTCTCTTCGAAAAAAGAAGCTATCACAAAGAATTTATGGGAGGAGGGGAATGAAAGAAGTAAAGATTTCTTTTTGTTACTTAAAGTTTAACTTGTAAACTTAAAGCTTACTTTTTTGGCAGGCTCAAGCACCTCATATCAAATATCTTACAATCTTGCCCTTGTCCTGTCTCTCAAATAATTTTGTGTGTATTGTTATTTCAGATATTATCGCGGATAAAACCTGCTGTTAATGCTGGAACCAAACCTAAGGACAGCTCCAAGGACCGTCTATCTTTAGAGGAATTTTTATCAAAAAGAGATTACACAGGAGCACTGACAGTATTACAGGTTGGTAAGCTTCCATTTTTCTGTTTCTATTTTTCATATCATCAAAAACAGGTTTGAAACTTTCTCTACTTTTTATACTTAAGTTGGAATCCTGAGTTTTTAGCACCATGTACCGCAACCACTTTGATACATTGTAGTTTTTATGAACCGTGAAAGGTTTTTTTTTGAAATCAAAATGCGAGTCTCCAGATGAATCATTGAGGAATTTTCAGGCTATAAATCATTGTTAAAAGAAATTTATGATAAAGTTAAAAGTATTGTCTTCAATTGAATCGGCTTAGGCAAAAACTGCTTGAGTCAAATCTTCCTAATGTTGAGGGAACTGGAAACATCTATAAAAGTCTGTTAATGACATGAATAAATAATGTCAAAGAGACAAATACTACAGTAATAGAATGTAGAAAGGAGCCTTATTTGTCTCCGGCTCCCCATTTTGCTGAATCAGAGAAATTTAAAACAAAAGATAGGTAAACGAAAGAGTTTTTAGAGTAAGATCTTAAGGAAAAACATATCATTGTATGTAAAATTTCTTACTATATCACGAAGAACTTGGTATATGGAAAATTTTAATATGTTCACAAATTCTGATCAAATTTTGATGTTTAAATTTGTAGTGATGTTTAAACATGCACTAATGTCCTGTGTAAATAGCTGAAATGTATTTATACTGACGTAAATTTTAGCAGTCCTTCAGAGAAGACGCTTCATGTACAAATAAATAAATGAATGACTACATAAATGAATGAATTAGACATCAGCTGTCTTTGCATGAATCATTGAAATCTCTGAGCTACAAAGCCGTTCAATTACTTCTAAAAAGATTTTATATCGCTAGAGTTTTTACCTATGAAAGTTGTCCATCATATCCAGATAACATTTTTTTTCAGAAAAATAAGTTCGAGTTCTTCCAGTATCTGATTATGTATATTTGACCATTTCAAAATTTATCTCTGCTACAAATTGCAATGACTATTCATTATTACTTTCTCAGTTCAAAGGACAAAATGAAGAGACAGTTCGATGGGTTGGCTACTGTTCATTCCATATCGGAGATCATAAAAATGCGATGAGTATTTATGAGAAGATACTCCAATCAAAACCTGTGCCAGAGGACACTGTCACCAACTTAGCCTGTTGTTATTTTTTCCTTGGCATGTATACCAATGCTCAAAAAGTAAGTTTTTTCTCTTCTTGCCACTTTCGCACTAATTATTCAGTCCTACAAGCAGCCCTCTTAGCCAATTTTTGAGATGTTTTTTGGATCCTCCACAGGCTACTCGCAAAAATATTGAATAAGTTGTCCAATACATTCCTATAAGGAGAGCAGAGTTCATTAAGAGACAGTTCATTATCATCATCAGATAAAATGGTTTAACCAGTATGTGCAATTTTGGAAATTGAACTGAATTAAGTCGGACCCCTTCATCAGTTAAAAACAGACCTTCCATAATCTGATAGTATGATAAAATGATTAATATACGAAAAAAGGGTAGTTTTCTTTTAAATAGATCATGTGCGAGTGGTCGAAACATTTTCATATTAATCAAAAACCTTGGATTTTTCCTTTTTTTAAAGAAAATATGTGAGTATATACTAAAAAATGAATGGCATATTCTTACAGATCTTAGAAAAAGCAGCGGAAAGCCGACTGAAAACAAGACTGCAATTTCATCTAGCTCACAAACTTGGTGAAGAAGAACAGTTGATGCAGTACCACCAGCAGTTAGCCGACATAATTGAGGACCAGCTCTCTTTGGCTTCGATTCACTATTTGCGGTCACACTATCAAGAGGCCATAGATATATATAAACGTGTTCTCCTAGACAACAGGTAATAATTAAGCAGATTCGAACTGAAAAAGAAATGCATGTAAGGGGTTGATCCTACATTTTTGTAACGCAGAAAATTCAATTTTTTCGTATCTAGTAGTGAATTAATGTTAGTGTGCTGACTCATAGTCAATATTAGTAATGTTCATTGCGCGAATCGCATGTTACGTGTTAAATTTTGAAAAGGAAGCATGAGTCAGAGTGCTTCAATTCGTACCTTATCTAGTGGTCCATAGGGCTGTTCAATCGGTTGTCGGTAAGCCACCGAAACAGTTCCGTTAAGAAAAAGTTACGATAAGAGCGCTCTTACCGATAGCGATCAGAGTTTTCGGAGCTGGCGAAAATAAGCTGTTGCCAATTGTACATCTATTTTACGCGCGCCGCCGCGCCAGGCAATCTGATAAACCGACACACGGGGCAACAATGTATTGAGTGCGAGCTCTCAAAACTCCGATAAGGCCGGCTGTTGTCGATATCATGGCCACTGTCGGTACTGCCGCCAGTTTCAATAAGAGACGATGTCGATAGTGTTCCGGCAAGAATTCGTTTGAACACCCCTAGTGGTCCATGTAGCAAAATTGTTCAGTTTTTCAGAAATTCAGTGGAACTTCTATAATGCTTGTTAGTTGTACAGAATTTCACTGAGCTCAACTATTTTTTTTTTCTTAAAAAAAAGAAAAGAATAATCACTCAACAGCTAGGAAATCAGATACAGATACTAGGGACAATCTCCATATAAGGCATGAAAATGAGTTCATGATTTTCTTTGACAGTTTTTGGATTTGACTAGTTTTTGGTATTTGCATACTTTTTTTGTGTGTTGCTTCATCATAATTTTTAGACCACTTTTTAACTTTATTTTTAGGGAATACATCGCATTGAATGTTTATGTTGCCCTGTGTTACTACAAACTAGACTATTATGATGTGTCTCAAGAAGTCCTCGGAGTATATTTGACAAAATATCCTGATTCAGCTATTGCAATCAATTTGAAGTCTTGTAATCACTTCAGACTGTACAATGGCAAAGCTGCGGAACATGAACTGAAAACACTTGTGGTAAGTTTAAAAATTTCAATCAAATGAGTGAGGATCAAATAATGAAAAAAATTGACTCCCTGTACTTAAGTGCTTTTGCCTTGATGTAAAAATGTTTAGAACGGTCCATGTACAGAAAAATTCAGTCATAAAATAGTACCAAAACGCTAACCATTTCTCACGGCCCAATTTCTGATTTGCCTCACCAAAATATGTCTGATTTCTTAGTAGAATATGCTATCTGTACCATTTTGCTACAGTAAAAAGCAAATGAGAAAATTGCAGGATTAAGCATTTTTTGTGCCCCAATGAAATATCACTATTCATCCATTGTTTCAGATCAAAATTCATTGCGTCGCTCCCACCAAAATATTTTATTCTCTGATTTTCACAAATTTAACTCCCTGACTGACCAGAGGCTTTCTGCACCTGTTTTGCTCTCTACACTCTAAAAAAGAAAAGTGGAAAAGTAAGCACTTACACTCCTCACTTTCTTGTCTTGATAAAAATTTGAACCAATTATATCATTGCTCCTAGACTGCCTTAGTTATTCGGAAATGACAAATTTGAGCCCGCTTCTCGTTCAATCAGTGCCAATATCCAAAATCTTGCTCAATCACAATTTCCATTTTTCTTCTTTGCTGGCTGCTGAGAAAAGAAGAAGGATAATTTACTGCTTATTGTGAAAACTTTCTTCCTACGATTCATGTTTCATTACAGGATCAAACCTCTCCTTCTTTCAGTTTTGGTCATGATCTGATCAGGCATAATTTAGTTGTCTTCAGAGGAGGGGACAAGGCTCTTCAGGTTCTTCCACCTCTTGTCGACGTCATTCCAGAAGCAAGATTGAATCTAGTCATCTATCACTTGAAACAGGTAAATTTGGAGGAAAGTGTACGTAGGTATTGATTTAAACATCTACTATTTTTAATCATTGATCCCTCAATCGCTAAAAATAATAGGTTTAGAAAAATCAGGAAAATTACTCACTGAAAAAAGGAAATTTTTCGGGTAGCTGGTTAGGTGGTCAAGAAAAAAAAAATTCTTACCTACACCAGGATGATAGCTTTTTATGATTGATTTAGAATATCTTGGCTGTAATCAGAAATCCAATTTGTTTCCAGGAAAGTACGGGGGTGGAAATTTGTTTGAAATGAGCACAAATACCAGTGTTTTTTGAGCGGGTTTCTGAGTCTTTGGTCCATTAAAAACACCAAAAAAAAGGGGGGAAAAATTTTTATTGAAGAATGAAATGAAGAAATTAACGTTCTAATTGATTCTTTTACCTCATTGCAAAATCGACGTTAGTACATATATAGTTTCCTCCATGAGTTATGCAGAAATAGTAAGAAACGTAGCTCATAAATCGTAACGTCCTGGCTTTTGTGATGATTCTAGCTTTCTAGAGTCCCAAGATCCACTCGATACAATTGGATATAGTTAAGCTAAACAGTCACATCCATGTACTTAACGGTGTTTTAAAATCTGTGGTACTGTTTTAATAATTTGGAAGGGAACCAACCAACCTCCCCACTGGAACATTTTTGCAATATCTTTTTTGCTATATGAGGATTATTTCCACAAACTTTCAAGGGAAAATGTTGGTTGGTTTTTTCCCAAAAAATTAAAACAGTACATGAGATTTTAAAGCTTTGCAGTATAGATTTGACTGTTATGCTTTCCTATCCTATTATTTGGAAGCCAAGATGGAACCGGTACCTACCTTTACTCCTGAGAATTTTCTGACCCATCACGTATGACTACTCATTGCCACAACATTACTGTGTACGGTAGCCTTCACTGCTAAAGCTTGTTCTGTGGTTTTGTACTGCTTTTGTATCCCTATTGTGTATCACTGTTTTCTGGGGGTTGATAACTTTTTAAAACTACTGCTTATTTTTTCTCTTTTCAGAATGAATACCAGGAAGCTCATGAACTCATTAAGAACTTGGAGCCAACAGTGCCTCAAGAATACATTCTTAAAGGCGTAGTAAACATTTCATACGGTCAAGAGACAGGACTGGTAAAGTTTTTCATTTTTTCCTCTCTTTTTCCAGGATTTTTGTTGAGAAGCTCTGTCCTTCCAAAACTTAGATGTAAAATAATTCCCTTTTTTGTTGGTATTTTCCTTACTGACAAACTTCAGTAGAGTATGTACAGCTTACTTTAATATCCATCCCTCAAAGTACCTAGGAGTGTTCCAAAGTATCCTTGTCACTAATCTATTGGTACTGCTTGCTTTGAAGTAACCAATACACTCTGATAAAGTTGTTCTTGTCAGAAACGGGCAGCTGTATTGGAACTGGGTGAGCTCAGAGTCGGAGCTTAGTCGCCTCATAGCCCTGTCCATTGTAGCTCTGGGCTTGCAAAACTGATATGCATGACAAAGATTCATTTTTGCCAGCCTTGAAAACTCCGATAGCTACGAGTGAGGGTCTGCTTATCATTACTACTTTTTATCTGAACTGTTTTCTCAGCTTACCAAAAACCGGTAGAACACCTCTACCAAGTAAGTTTATGAAGTTCAAATCTTAGAAACTAAAAGTACTAAACTAAATTCATAAGAAGTTCTGAAATCTGCAAGACAATGAAAATAGGTTTAGGGATCTTAGTCATTTCATAGGATAAGATTTTGAAATTGATGCCTTTCGCAAAAATTTTGAATTAAAGTGGCAGTATACAATAGACAAAATTTATGATCTTCTTTCCATGAGCATTGAAATGAGACAGAAGCCTCAAAAATTTTGGTAAATCCGCCCAACCAGCAGGGAATGTAGGTCCCTTGCTCAGTAGACTGAACTTGCTATGAGTTTTCCGCTCAGAAATTAATTTTTTGGCAGAACGTCAATCTTAATTTCTGGAGCTTTGACATTTTGAGAAGCTTCGATTATGAAAAATCAGGTAGTGTTTATAGATTTGATTTATCATTCGTGATTCTTGAGTTATAACTTAGTCAACTCACTTTTTTGATGATCCTCGTAAAATTCCATGAGGCACTGAAGTGTGACTTTCGATGAAACAAAACATCATCATCTATGTATCTCTAAAATAATTTTCATCTTTTTAAATCAATTCCCGAAAGTAAATATTATTTTTGATAAACATGTCACTTTAAGCTGATGTTATCATTTTCAATCTGTCATTAATTTAGAGATTGCACTTCATATTTTTATTTGTATTTATCATTACCGACTGATTTTTGTTAGATGGGTTTTCATTGTATTTTTTTATTTTCAGAGAGAAAATATCAGTATTGCCCAACAATATTTTCATTTAGTTGGAGACAGCACCAGCGAGTGCGATACAATCCCAGGGAGACAATGCATGGCATCCTCTCTGTTTCTACAACGAAAATTCGAAGATGTTCAGCTGTATCTAAGCTCGATAAAAAGTTACTATTATAAAGATGACAATTTTAATTTCAATTTTGGCCAAGTAAGTGACTATGGTTTTTACACCAAATAGAAAAGTGTTCCATCACCCAGAAAGGCTCTTAAATAAATCACATCATGCCTTTTGGGTGAGGTAATACGTTTCAAAATTCTAGTGTCATAAGAGGAAGGGATGTGCTCCAATCATGAAAAAATAATCTCTTCACGCCGATGCAACGGGGTGAATTTTAGGTCAAAAATTTGAAATCACTGAACATTATCAGAGAGGACAACAACTTGAAAAAGACTCCTCCTAATATTTTAGTCGGAGGTAACTGACTAAAGGGACCAAAAACTGTTTTTCTTAACTTGACGCAGTCTATAAGCTATTTGCGCCACTCTTTGAAAACTCGTTGTGGAAAGTAAATTGTTGAGCCATTCAATACAAGTCAGAGGTGTAAAAAAATACCTAAATAAAATTTTAATTGACTGGAAAAACGGTTTAAAGCGTACTTATAGCATAGATTTTCTCGGTTCAATAAGTGAAAAGTCTTTTAAAACGCTTTTAGTGCTCAGAAAGTCATTCAAGTATTTTTAACTGAATAAAAGATTTTGATTAGGTAAACCAATCAATGTTGTGAAAAAAAAATTTTTAAGAGAACAAGTCAAAAGTTCCAGTTTTTATGTGTTTCTGAGAAAGATTTACATGAATGTATGTTTGTATCAATTTGATCAATTAATACCGGGAACATTGAGAAGAGAACAAGAGGAGAACTTACAACGTTGTCGTCAAAAGTATTCTTACATATGGACGTGAAGTTTGGTAGCTGGAGGAACGGACACAGTGGATGCTAAGAGCAACGGAGATGGATTTCTGGAGGAGGTCTGCAGGAATTTCTAGGGGAGGTAGGGTCCGCAATGAAAGAGTGCGTCAGATCATGGGAGTCGAAAATAACATCATATTCGACCGCATGACCAGACAGCTTGTCTGGTATGGTCATGTCAATAGAATGACGGAAGAAAGGCTGCCAAAGAAGTTGCTTGATTGGGTTCCTCCTGGAAGGAAACGAAGGGGACGCCCAGTGAAAGGGTGCTGGCGACAGGGGGTTTAAGAAGAAATGAGGGTTTGCCAACTCCCTGAAGGGCTTTGGGAGGAAAGGGGACTTTGGCGACTAAGGAGAAAAGTCAAAGTGTTGATGGAGTATATATGGGCATAAAAAACATGCGTCGGTTTAAAGTATAATGCAACTACATTAGCAATAATCTCTTTCTATGATTTTGCACTTATGATCCTTTCCCTTCAATAAATTCTTACTACAATAATGTAGATGTTAATTCTGACTTATGATATCTTATTTCAATTCCAGACAAAATGTGCCCTCGGTCTATATGAGGAAGCAGAGGAGATATTTTTGCTAATCCAGAATGAAAGACTGCGCAATAGTCAAACTTATATCAGTCACTTGGCGCGTTGCTACATCATGAATCAGAAACCTCGGCTTGCATGGGAATTGTATCTGAAGATGGATAGTCCAGCAGAGTCTGTGCCTTTGCTCCAGCAAATTGCCAACGACTGCTATAAAATGGGTCAGTTTTGGTATTCAGCAAAAGCGTTTGACATGCTTGAGAGACTGGATTCCACCCCTGAGTATTGGGAAGGCAAAAGAGGAGCGTGCGCTGGAGTTGTCCAACTAATTGTCATCGGAAAACAACCGAAGTAAGAATGAGTTTTTTTCAGTTGGTATCTCGGAAACAATTTTAACAAAAAACCACTCAGTAGTAACTTTGTGAATTCCGAGTTTTAAATATCTTTGAATTGTTGTGAGTCAAAAATTTCTGCAACCCATGACAATTTCTTCCCCTGTTTGAGATAATTGACCACAAAAGTTGCAGTTTTTTTCATTAATTGCGTGTCAGTTGGCAAAGCTTGTGGGGGAAAGACTAAGAAAATACCTCAAATTACGAGAAGTCAGCCAGGCTCAAATGCAGTAAAATTTTTATTCATGGCTTAGGAAATTTAGTAGGTCCCTCTGTAACTGGACCTAAACAAAATATTGAAGTTGTGTGTTCATGATATATATTATTTAATTGTAACACCAGTTTATCCTTAAAAAAATGGATAATCACAGCTTGATCCAACAGTTCTTAACAGCTTGAATGTGAGGAGAATTTTGTTTGGGCTGTAGAAGAGGCAAGACTAACTTCCCTAAGATGATGCTTTCTATGTGCAAGTCATCGATGAAGATGCGTCGGTCACTCCATGATAAATCAAATATATCAGCAATTGTTTCAATAGTGCAATGTGTGATACAAAAATCCACCCACTGACAAGTACAGAGCTTCGAGATTTTGTTCAGATCTAGTTGTGGTGGCAGGGCCGGATCTAGGGGGGGGCAAGTGGGTGCACGTGCCCCGGGCGCCACTTCAGGGGGGGCGCCAAAATGGCAATGACTTTTTTTAGAAAGGAGGTGAGAGGGAGGGAGGGTGAGAAGGGGGGAAGAGGAGAGGGAGGTTACGAACATCGAAACAGGAATACATACATATGAGTCGCTTTTATAGCGATCTTTGGCGCTTTACCACGCCTAATCGCCACAAAGCTCGAAACAGGAATAACATTAGCAAAAAGGGACGAAATTTGTCAGTTTTCATATCTTCTGAAGAGCACCTGAAAGCTGAAGTCAAAGTCAGCACTGAGCATAAGGCNTATATATTATTTAATTGTAACACCAGTTTATCCTTAAAAAAATGGATAAACACAGCTTGATCCAACAGTTCTCAACAGCTTGAATGTGAGGAGAATTTTGTTTGGGCTGTAGAAGAGGCAAGACTAACTTCCCTAAGATGATGCTTTCTATGTGCAAGTCATCAATGAAGATGCGTTGGTCACTTTATGATAAATCAAATGTATCAGCAATTGTTTCAATAGTGCGATGTGTGATACAAAAGTCCACCCACTGACAAGTACTTAGCTTCAAGATTTTGTTCAGATCTAGTTGTGGTGGGACTTATCAAACTTTTTAAGTCTTCAATAAAAATTTCAACCATTTGAGCCTTGATAGCATCTTATAAATTTAAGATCTGTACAGTCTTATCTTGGCAAGGTTTTGTGGTCCTTTTTATGGTTTTAGGTAGGGTTTTTTAAAGTAAAAAACGAAAATTCATAACCCTCTGCCGTAAATTAATGTCATTCATGCTGAAAGACCATTGCAGCGTTAAGAATGAAAAAAAAGCACCAGAAAAGGCAAGAGAAGAACTCACTTCAGTAAAACGGTCTTAACATTTTTTGGGTAGATTCCATGGACTGAAATTTGATAAGGTGCATCATGCGGAGTAGCTTGCAACTTTCTCAAAAAGGACAGTCAATATCGTAAAACTTTCAGTCAATGTGACGGTTACCCGGTTTGCTCTGGGTCCCCTTCGTAAACTGCTTCATTTTTTATTTGTCTCTACATCGAGAATTGAGTTCAGAACTTGCAGCACCAGCTCTTTAACATTTCTGAATTTTTCCTTTTTATTTTGACCTTTTCGAATGCTGTATTGATGTGTGCCTTTTTTTTTTAGAGAACTGTTGACGGATGTCATACAACTTTTACGTAACACAGCCAACTCTCAAGTTGAGGCGATGATTCGAGCCATCAAAAAATGGGCAAGAGACAATAGGATAAATATCTAAGTGTGCATTGCGGCGGTATGTATTGCAAGTAAGGTCCTCCAAACAATCTAGTGCAAAATAAAGTTTTACGATCATAATCAAATGCATTCTTATTCCTAACTCCGCCTAACCTTCCTAACTTCTGTTGGAATCTACGTACACAAAAAACACTATTTTACATACCTATTATGATCGTTTCATTCCCCCTAGTTTAATTAAGTCTGAATAATCCCCAAATTTGATTAAATCATGATTATGGCACCAACTAAACATACTACATTTGCGTTTCACTGTCAGTTGGAAAATCCTACATTTACTGCCGATGACATTGCATGGTAGAGTGAGTATAGGGGTGTATAGCAAGAGAAAGAAGTCAACCAAAAATAATGGAAGGAAATCTTTTTAAGAGAAAAACATGAGTTGAAATTCAACAAATCATTTTATTTTGAGAGGTTAAAAAGTTTATGACTAAAACATAACTACAAATCAATAGTAGGTTGCCGAGAGTTCAAACAATTTTGATCAGAGCCACAGAATTTCGGAAAGAGCAAAAAAAAATGCTTAGAAGAAATTAGAATAACTACGGTATGCTTAAAGCACTAGAGGTAGTACACGTATGAAGGTACGCTATTATAAAAATCACTGGAACAGGTTTTGTAGTTTCAAGTTGACGGAAATTCCTCACATTTAATGCCATGCCTTTTGGCCAAAAAGGACCGTACATTTTGGTCTCTTTGATTACCACAGAAAATATTGATGACACTATTGCCTGCTATCTGATTCGAAAATTTCTCGACTCGTGAAATTACTTACAGAGTAACATATGGCTATCAAGTTTTACACACAGGTAGATTTGTGATTATTGGTGATAATATTTAGACATCAACCTGAAAGAAACTCTGCATTAGTAAAATATGATTTCAACCCTTTGGGCTTCAAACTGTAGTGCTCCGTCAGAATTCTTTAAATTTTTGATCACTCACAAAATTTGCAAATTAAATACTTCTTAAAACACCCTTGAATTCAGGTGCAGACTTAAAGGATATTAAGAGGAAATTTTTAAGTAGAAATTTGAATAAGCTCTCTGTGAATTGGATAATGTAGAGTGAGGTACATAAAAGTCTCAATTTTATGCAGAGAATTATTGACAAACTGAGATGCTGGTTGCAACGGGGACATTTCACCAATTAATCCGTTTCCGGCAGTCTAATAATGGAAATTTTTGCTTGAAACATCATGAGAAGTAATGAGTATATCTATCAACATTGGTAAATAGATTTAAGCCTGTGTTGTAGTCCATTTTAGTAGTCAGAGAAATGCCCCTGGTGTATCCAGCTCCTTAATTGTCGCTCTCAATACGTCGCCTCCTGCACAAAGGAACGTATCTCAATGGTGCTGGACAGGCCTTAGAACTTCCAGTAATTTTTCTTTGCACTAGAGAGAAAAGACTAAAATTTCCATAAAATTAGTGCCACGCTTCACCCATCAAAATCAAATTTTCACCAAAAAAATGAAACAGCCCAGACAAGATACATTTCTTTGAGCAGGAGATGACAAATAAGGTACAAGTTTAATTATGGATGAGGGGATGCAGAGCTTACTTTGAAGAGGGTAGAAATTTTGAGCGAAAGAAAATGTCTGACATTGCGAACAAGTTCCTCATTCAAACTAAAAATTATGGAGCATTGCAGGAGGTGATTTTTTCTGAGGGGAAATGCATTGGTCTCATCATGATTCTTTTCCATACCAAAGAGAAATTATGAAAAAAGTAAGGATGAGATGCTCATGAACTGAAGCATCACATAATTCTCTCGCAGAACAATTCATTCTGAAATGATTTTGCCTGGGACTAACTTTGGAATGGACTTTTGGAGCAAGGTTATCATAAGATTAGCTCTGAACGATTATGCACATTGAGAATTTAGTTTACAACCAACTAACTTATAGTTGATTACATCGAATGGCAAGATTAGTATTTAATGCTTACTTGACTTTTCCATCAACCTCACATTGATACCACTAAAAGCAAAGATTGCAAATTGAGGAAAATAAAATGAAGTTCCTCATTTTTATGCAAAATGAAGTTCCTCATTTTTATGTCAATGGACCACTACATTAGCTGCTAATTGAAGCATTGTGAACGATTTTTTCGCATCAAAATTTACATAGAACACAAACTTGTGCGATAAGATTACTGAAAGTAAGTCCTAACCAAGATACTAACATTTTTCAATGCATACAAGCTTGTTACAACATACAGTTTGGGCCACTTCTTAGTTTTTTTTTCTCACTTAATGAGAAACCTGCCAGAACTGTTATGGAGCGGGATGAGATTCAAGTGGACTCAGATTTTTCTTGTGAGCGGGAAATTCAAATTTGTCAATTTGATCAATATCTTGGTTGGGAATTCGTGTCCCTAATTTAAGTTGCACAAATTGTGTTCTACGTGAAATTTCAAAGAGGGAACACACATTGAAATGCATTTGTATCTTGTCTGGTGGTTCACTGTTACATTCAAAATAAAAGACAAGAGATAATTACAATTTTGGCTGACTAAAGGAATGGTTTGAACACTTTTTCTTAGATTAGAACACATTTACAGGATGCTCTGTGCCAACAGCGCCTAAATAATCTTCATTCTCTGAAGCTAATCACCGGCCTTCAACCAATTAGGATTAAGTAGGTATGTTGATGTCCTATGGCTTTTAAAGACCAAAATTTGGAGTAATTTTGATCACCTACTTTGAACCCATGGGCATTACATTTACCTCATGT